CACAAACAGGCATTTGGGGAATACAAACGATATCTCAGCTGCAGTCTGAAAGGAAGAGGTGTGATGCACATTTGCGACAATCGGCGTTAAGGAGTGAATTGTTGTAATACTTTCTTCAGTCCTTTTAAAATCTAGTTTGATTGGAGCACTTAAGACTTTAAGATCTCTGTAGTAATAGAAATAATGGCCACTAAATTGGAAAAATGTCATTCAGGTTAACATGGATGTGCTTCTTTGTCTTTTCTCACCACCCTATTATTTCAGGCAAGTCCGCTCTGCACTGGGCAGCCGCAGTTAATAATGTGGAGGCAACTCTTGTGCTTTTGAAGAATGGAGCCAACCGTGACATGCAAGACAATAAGGTCGGTTCTTGTGTTTTGATTTATGCTATATAAAACACTAACCATTGTTCCTTAGTTTTTGTGCTAATTATGAATACTGTATATGCAGGTGTAACACTAATACAGATTCAACACTAATCAGTGTCAAGTTGCTCTGCACATGTCTGGCAAACCGTATTTGATTTAAAGTTGAATTGAAAGTACTATATATAAATTCTAATATTTTATATAATATATACAAACACAAAAGTACAATAAAATTATTTCTACTTTGTTATTTTAGATTACTGAGTGTTCCTAACTGAGCTGTGTTTCCTTCAGGAGGAGACCCCACTGTTTCTTGCAGCCAGAGAAGGCAGCTTTGAGGCGGCTCAAGTCCTCCTCGATCACTACTCCAACCGTGACATCACCGATCACCTGGATCGGCTGCCTCGCGACACTGCTCAAGAGCGCATGCACCACGATATAGTGCGCCTGCTAGACCAGTACAATTTGGTTCACAGTCCACACAATGGGCCTAACCACATGGGTGGAGGGGGAAACTCCTCCGTTATGTGTGGGGCCAACGGCGCGGGCTTCATCGGCATGCGCCCTGGGCCACAGGGGAAGAAGAGCAGGAGGGGCGGAGGTGGAGCGAAGGTGGGAGGTGTTGGCGGGGGAGCTAAGGAGCTGAAAGACATGAAGGCGAAGAGAAGGAAGAAGCCCACTGGAGGAGAGGGGCCGGGTGTGGGTGCTGGAGTGGGAGGAGGAAGTGGAGGAGGTACAGGAGGAGGGAACACGAATGGCGTCAAGGCAGCAGGAGGACTTCCAGAGAGCTCTGTCACCATGTCACCCGTTGACTCCTTGGAATCACCACACTCGTACACAAGCAACGTGTCCACAGCCGTCTCCACCACAGCAAACTCCCCTCCCCTCCTGAGCAGCCCAGCCTCTAGACCAATGCTGCCCCCGGTCAGCCACATGCTGGGACAGCAGCAGGGCTGGGTGGGCATGCCAAAGCACAGCTACAGCGGCCACATGTTCGGCCTCGTGCCGCACCAGATGGGGGGATCTCACCCTGGCATGGGCCAACACCACAGCCAAGCCCCGATGCTGTCTACCATGAATGTCACCATGAGCAGAGAGCAGCTGCCGCCCATTGTCACATTCCAGATGATGGCCCCTGGAGGAAGCCAGGCCATCCTGAAGCAGCCTCAGCCGGGGCAGGTACAGGTCACACAGTCCCAGGGGCAGAACCAGAATCAGGGTCACTCCCAGCAGGGGCCGGGCCACCTCCACTGCTCCCCGAGTATGATGTACCAGATGCCAGAGCAGATGAGCATGGCGCACGGGCTCTCCCACACCCTGCAGCACCCCCACACCGTCAGCCACGGAGGCCACGGTGGGCTCGAGGGCCAGTCTCGGCCTCTGCCCTCCTATCCGCCCATGCAGAGCCCTGTTGATAAGTACCCCACACCCCCCTCCCAGCACAGTTACGCCACCGCTGGCTCAGATGGCACCACCCCCAGCCACTCTGCCCACCCGCCCAGCGAGCACCCGTATCTCACCCCTTCGCCAGAGTCCCCAGACCCTTGGTCGTCCTCTTCGCCACACTCCAACTCGGACTGGTCTGACGTCACTACCAGCCCCACCCCCCTGGGGAACCCCCACCACGCACTGCAATCGTCACACCACACACACATTCCAGAGCAGGTGCAGCTGCAGCCGCAGTCGCAACAGATGCAGCAGTCCTCTCAACAGCCTCCGCTTGGAAATATGCAGGTGTTTGCGTAGGCTGGCCAGAGGAAAGCATAAACAGACTTTAGGGTTCTGTGTAGTTAAATAACGCATAGTAACTCATACAATGCTTTCTCAGTTCTTTCGTTAATTTCCTTTGTTTGGTCTTCATTTTGTTAATCGGTCAACTCCCCTTTTATATTTTCTTCTCCGCTTTGCACTTAAGAAAACTGTGTGTATAGTTTCTGAAACGTCCGAGTATTATCAGCTACAAATCAAAAGTTCTCAATACCAAAAACCGTGGAGTTAGCTGTCACGAGCTAAAATCCGCGTTGTTCCTTCGATCCATCCTCTGCTCTCTGTTGGCAAAGTCAAGACTTTTCTAATCGGCCATTGGCAGCCAAACACAAAGTGTTTATTGAGGGATCATGAAGGAACTGCCAACCAGATGGCAGCCAGCTGGTATTGAATCAGAAAAACAGACTGTTTAGATGGACACTGAGACAGGGCCGAGGACGCTCTGCATCGATCTTGTCTGTTTTGGACAACGCTGTCATTTGTTTCTGCTAAATGCTTTCCTTATTTGATGTTTAATGTGACAAGCCTGCCAATACTAACTCCTCGTCGAAACCATTCACTCTGCTTTTTTAATACGATGGGTCACATTCAGTGGATGCTTTAATTCAGCAAAACTACCTAGTTGTTGCCTTATTTTTGTTATTCATGCATTATTTTTTAATGTACTAAAGGGGGATTTTTATAAAATGTTGTTGCATGACTAGAAAGACAAACACCAAGGAGATTATAGATTATATAGAAATGTACACAGATACATCTTGATGCTAAATGGCTCCACACTGGTACAAACAACTTAAATGTATTTACTGCATTGCTGACAGCTGATAGAGATTAGTGCTTCCTATCAAACTGTATCTGTCTGAACACGCCGAAGGTTCAATAAATGCATTTTTTACTTGCCTGCTGTCGGTGCAGTGAGAACACAGTGTATCACCCATGTTTTGAAGACAGTTATGTCTGGATGCATCTTTTCTTGCCACAAACGGTGCCACTATACTTCATGTGTTGTTGAGGGATTCATTCAGAAGCTTGACAAACTTTATGCAAACACATACATTAGTTTTAGTATGATGAAATGTATATAGACTTACAACACATTCTGCTTGTTATTACTGAGCTCGTTTTGGGGTAGACATGTTGACTTTTAAAATGTCGGTTTCTGTTTTTTATACGACTTGTGTTCGCACTTCTTGAATGATTCTGAATGTTACGGAGGTGCCTGTTGTTACCATTTCAGCCGCTTCTTCCTAAATGTTTTCTTTCCAAAAAATCATTTAACCAGTTTTGCCTTTTGCTTAACTACAATCATTATATCTGTGCACCTTTTTTAATTGTCATGATTCATAAACAAAGTCTGGAGGTGAGCATGGTTTAATAAAGTTTTTTTTTTTTGTCTTCCTTCTTAAGGTTGATGTTGATCATAGCTTTGCGTGACTGCTCTGTAAACACAGACAATCATTCACTGTTTTAATTTTGAAACTTCAAAAAGGAACATCAGTGTCTCTAAGACCAAATTTAAAAAGAAATTTCCTGCCAAAAATGATCATCGGGTCCAAATATTTCTCAATTGTTGTGATCTATTAAAGACTTTTGTTAAGTTAGACACACATCCGATACCAAGAAATGTTGTTTTTGTTGGAATTACTACTGTTCAAATTAATCACGTTTCAAATCAAAATTCCCAGTACCTGACACTTAAGTGCCTTTTTCTCTGTACCCACAATGTGACTGCAATTTCACAAAACACATGTACTGTACATCAAGTTGTCAGTCAGCATCTTTATTAAGTTCCCGTTCATATGCAAGACTATGTGTCTATGTTCTGTATATAAAATGTTTTTTATCCTTCTTTCCTCTGTTAACCAAATAGCTTATAACATACGTGTCATATGAAGTAGTTGTCACCATGTTTGTATAAGGTAGAAGAACTAAAACTGATGAAAAAAATAAGTTGTTTGTTGCAAAAAACCAAATGATCAACCAAATGTGCTTACTAAAATAAAGCCCAGATCTTCGTAGATTTTTTGTCATTACTTCTTTTTTCAAATGTACTTTGTCAACAGTGCTGGTGTTGGAAATAGTTGTATCGCGGTTTCACGTGGAAAATTAAAAGTGTGACACAGATGGGTATCGAATTCAAACATGCTGGTGCTTCAGTCGTACGGATTTTATTTTCATCAGACTGTTCAGTCCTTGGATATATGACATTTCTTGAAAAGCAACCAGATCCCATCAGTGATTTGTACTGTGCTTCCTCTTGGTTGACAATACAACTCTTTGTGCTTTCACTACAACAGATGAGAATAGGATTTATGGATCATTGCAGGGTGCATTTTGATGAAGAATAACACCAGTATTCAACTAATTATAATTTGATATTTGATATATATAGATATTTATATATATATATATAGAGAGAGAGAGAGCTTTGTGTGACTGCTGTATTTATTTATTCGTCTATCTTTCTTATATCTATCTATATATCTTTTCTATCCTATACATCTGTATCCCTCTGACATTTAAAATCAAAGCTATGCGTTTGGTTCAGCCTTGCACATTCAGCACCACTAAATTCACAGACAGTGTTCTACGGTATGTTAAGATATTGATAATATTCATTAAAAACATACACGGAAAATAAGTTACTATTTCTACAGAGAGACACTACCATGCTCCAGTTGTGTGTTTTTGAAATAATTATTTGGTGTGAAATAAATGTGTAAATGTCCATAGTGCTTTGTTATTCCGCTGTTAGCTGTGTAAACTTCAGTTCAAAATAAATATTAGACGTGCAGCCCGTTACCGGTCCAGCAGGAGGCGCTGGTGCTCACAGGAAGCCTTGACGCAAAGGCGAGGAAGAAATCTGTACACGGAAGTTATCCAGGATCCTGCATACTCGAGATTTTTTCCTTCTGTAGACTTTCTCGGTATAATTTACTGTTTCCTCTGGCGGTTAGTTTGACCATGATGGGGCAGTCTGTGCGGCAGCCCTGAGGAGATGATGTGCAGTTATCAGCAGACGGTTGATCGGGTGAATGGACGCGAGGACTTGAAGTGCTGCTGTTTTGACAGCTGGGTCGAGCTTCCAGTACCTGGTCTGTCTGCCTGACAGAGAACAGACCAGAGCCGAGGTTTAAACCCCAAAGAAGGGTTTATTTTATGTAGAGACAAATTTCCCTGTCAGTGAAGTTGCTTTTAAAGCGCCATTGAAGGAAAGGCTGAAAGGTGACTTCTCTTCTCATCGTAGCTCTGTAAGTAAAAAAAAAAAAAAACTTTTTGTCTGGTTCTGTGTTTACCTTCCAACAATTTTTACAATTCTACTCGCACCGTATATTTACAGTTCATCGTAATGTCCCCGTTTTCTGTCCAGCCTCCCCCCTGACCAGTGGTCATGGCCTCATCCCGGCTGAAGTACCTCTCTCTGGGCGTGCTGGTGTTCCAGACCACCTCCCTGGTGCTCACTATGCGATACTCCCGCACCCTGCAGGCCGAGGGCCCGCGGTACCTGGCCTCCTCAGCTGTGGTGGTGGCCGAGGTCATGAAGATCCTCACCTGTGTGCTGCTCGTCTTCAAGGAGCACAGTGAGTGCACCTGGACGTAATGCATGTCCCCATACTCATTAGAGTTTTCATTATATTATGTTAATCCAATGTAATGTTGTTATCAAATAACGGATTCATTGTGAGCTCTATAAAATGTTTTTCCAAGGAGATGTCTTCTAATTGCGTGTTTTGTCTAACCAATAGTTTAATATTCTGAAAACGACACTAACAATGATGTAAAGCAGAGAACAGCAGAAACAGCTAATCTTTTTTTTTTTACCCAGTAAATGACAGAAGTTATGAAAAGTTATTTTGATTTTTATTAGTATTCATAAAACTGCAACATACCACACTAATATTACATGAAAAGAAATACTCATAATCAATTAAAGCTGCAAGCAGTGTTGGGTGGACGCTAGAGAACATCCACTAATTTGTGTACCAGTACATCAATTGTGGACCATACTGGGAAAATTTCATGTAAATCAAATGAGGATTATGATTCAGAGTGTATTTCCTGTTGCCAGTTGGGGGGTCTATAACATTGATTGAATATTGGCTTGTAGATGTCTTCAGGGCAGGACTGATATCAAACATGCAAAGTTTCGTACAGATATGTGCATGCACACTGAAGATATAACGACTTCCTGTTTCATGGGGAATCATCGATTTTTATAGCCACGCCACAGACACACACCTTTTAAGAAAACTCACAGATAGCATGACTTCTCATCATCAATGCCTTCAGATTGTACAGTGAAAATCTAAAGTCAGTCAACACCTGCCTGTCTAAAAATAGCCCACAAGCTGTAGTTGGAGAAGCTCACCTTACTAATATTGCTCCCGTCTTACTGAAAGAAAAAAGAAATGAGAACGCTAATTCAGGGGTTTCCCTTTCTTTGAGTTAAACCTGTCCTACTGCCTGATGTGAAAAGCGGGTTTACTGAAATATCTGTTAATAATAAATAAAGCAGTAAACCTGCATCCTAATCAGGCCCCTGTCGGCAATGCTGTCAAACTATTATAACTTCAGAAAAAAAGATTTTTCATTTTCTTCCAGCCACTTTTACTACAAGTATATCAAAACCAAGGTGCTGACAACTTTACAAACACTTTCATCTTTGCTTTAAAACGAACATGCAGACATGTACAGATCTAATACAAATGACCTCCATAAACAGTTAAAAAGACACTGCAAACAAATTCAATAGTCATTTTAGAGCCCAAAAATGGAATTACTGTATGTCTGTATTTAACTTGTTTGTTTTCATATCTCAGGTTATAGCCTTCGAGCTCTGAACAGCATACTGCGTCAGGAAATTGTCCACAAACCCATAGAAACACTGAAACTGGCGATCCCCTCTGGGATCTACACGCTGCAGAATAACCTGCTGTACGTCGCCTTATCCAACCTGGACGCAGCCACCTACCAGGTACAGCAGAGGGCAGGTTGGGTTTGGAAGAGGAAGCTGTGTGCATGCCTCAGTGTAACACGCACAGAGGAGCTCATGTGTCTTTCTGAGGCTTTTAGCAATTGGCGCATCCTCGTTCGCCGGTTACTAACAGTTTTCCCACTTTGTCTCCATCAGGTGACGTACCAGCTGAAGATCCTGACCACAGCTCTGTTCTCAGTGTCCATGCTGGGCCGCAGGCTGGGCGTCTACCAGTGGCTCTCATTGCTTATTCTTATGGCTGGAGTGGCTCTCGTGCAGGTCCAGTACAGCTTCATGTCTGTTTATTACTTGTGGAAATGGGCCACAGAACATCCTCTCTGTGGTTCTACTAGAGATTGTAAGGGTTCTTATACGTAGCTACTTCTAATAAGAGACTTTTATTCCACTAATAATTAGAGTCCACATTAATGGATTGGTATAAACTCTAAAGTAGGCTTGATGATGGTTATTGTTCTGTATTGTTTATAGGAGACAGGATAAGAGCTAACAAATCTCTGCTGGGGCAAAAAAATAAGATTTGGCAGCTATGTTTCTTCTAAAAGAGCTAGAATACAACTCCGGTCACGCCCAAGAAGCTGGAATTATTAGAAATATCTGCAGCTCTCTTTTGATAATGTATTAATCTATTTTTTATTTTATTTATTTTTAAATAACATTGTGAAGAAATGCCCAACCATTCTCTAGTTCCAGCCTCTCAAATGTTTTTATATTATTGTGAACTGAGACCTTTTCTGAGCTAGTAATCAGACTAAATTGCCATTTCATTTCATTAATCATTGGAATCATATTGTTCTTTCAGTACATATTTTCTGCTTATCTATCTATTTTTCAGTTTTTAACACTTTGTATCAGTTTCCCAAATGGTGTTTCTTTCTCAGAGCAGCCATGTTTGAATAGAGGATGTTTACTAGGTGCAGGGACACGATCTGTTCAGTATATCCTTTCCTGTTCAGTAAATCCTGTGTGTATTCTGATAAAACTGTTCCTTCAGTAGAGGGCTCGGCAGTAAGCCTATGATTAATTCCATGCCGCAGTTTCGGCAGTTCTCAGAGTTTGATATTGGAGGCTTTCTTTCCAATTTCTGACTGTGGAGTAGGAAACCAGGATGTATTTGTGAGGAATCTTATCTTGAATTGATCACATTCAGGAGGCAAAATGCGCTCATGTAATGAAATCACAGCCTACGAGTCCCATGTAAACTCTGGACTAGCCACTAGTCCAAAGTTTAGTAGGTTCAGTACATGTTGCAATCAAAAAATCTATTTTGTTAGTGCCTTTTAAATATCAGAACAAAGAGAATGTGGCCAGTTCTGTGTTGGGGATTTAACATGATGTCAGGTTTGGTTATTAGCTGAATATCAAAGATAATCTAAAAATATTAATACAAGTATTAATATTCAAAATTATTAATTATCATTACACACAGTCTTTTGTTGCTCCTTACCAATAGGGAAACTTGAAAGGTGAAAGGTAAGAGAGGGAGAGCAGAAGGAAAAGTGCTTAATCAGATTTACTCTTTGACAGGATTAAGCTAGTATGTCGAATGGTTGCTGACTGCCGTGTGGAAATATAGCTGAACAAACGAGAGATGGTACAGTTTGTATTTGTACGTGATGTGTCTAACAGTTTATGTGTTGATTCAGAGGAAAAACAAAACAAGAAGAAAAGAACCTTGACATAGACACAGATTGCAGTGCAATCTCTGTTTGCAGTAAGTCAACTGTAACTGGGAAGGTTGCACCACAGTGGTAACAACGCATTTAACGGCATGGTCAACAAGGTTCAGGGAAACCAGATGGACTGGAATCCTTTTGCTGCTCTAGCTGCTGAACGGGAAGCTAACTTCTCTGGTGAGGTCTTGCCTTAAATCTTACTAATGGCACGTATTTGCAACAATATTCTGGTGACTCCTGACAGTCTGTAAGGCATGCAGGGCGTTAGTAGGGAAAATGGCATTAGGTGTCAGTGCATGCTAGCGTGGTAAGTTGGAGCACGCAACTATTCTATGGATCCTACTGGGTGCGTCTACTTAGGTTGCTACCCCCCTATATGGTGACATCATACCGCACATACTCATTGAGATTATGTAGGAACAGGGACTTGAACAGTTCTTCCTCCAGTCCTGAGGCGTCACTGAAAGTGTGCAGGTCTCAGCCCTCTGGTAATACTCCTGTGGGGTTTCATCCTGTTCTTGGATGACAGCAAAGGCACCTATGGCGGCGATGGAATAGTGGTCGGTATACCCAGTAACCCAGTAGTACTCCTCCTGCGAGGCTTGGCAGAGTCCAGGGTACCGATCTCGGGTCATTAGCTGGAGCGTCTACATGAAAACATGAATTTGAATATGAATGATTTTTGGGGTAGGTCATGTAGGCATCGCTCTATCTCTCTGAGATAGCCATCAACATTCAACTCTCGATCACTCGGGTCGACCTGTTCCACATCTTTGGTGAGGAACTCAAGTTGTCGGATATGCACGCGTTGTCTTCGGGGAGGAGAGGAGTAATCTGAGTCGTCCGGGGTTTCATAGTCACTCAGGGCGCCAAAGCGATGAGGGGATCTTCTTTCCTGTCACGGTTGGGATCGACTTCCACCAAGGTGTGATCTTCTGGGTCTGTGTGGCTCAGTAGCAGAAGAGGGACCGGAGCGGCTTGGGTATCTGTAGTACCCCTCCCCCCTTCAATTTGGAGAGAGGGTCCAACCAAAACGCAAGGTGTTGCGGCTAGTGGTGGACTGTAGTATCCTGGCGGTTGGTGGGACTTCTGTGTACAGTGTGCGGGCAGATGAGGGCACTCAATCGCGATCTAGTGTAGCGATGCCAGAGATTACGCTTCTAGCCATGGTCCCTAGGTTGGCTGGCGTTGCTGGATGCATCGGGCTGTTTCAAGCAGTCGAGGGAGGGCTATTTCTTTCATCGGCAGGGCTTGCCGTTCCAGACGCAGCGGTCTAGTCTTGGCTGCATCGGCTGGGTGCTGTTTGAGCAGTGTTTCACTGCTCGTGCTTAGACGGGACTCATTTCAAGTTAGACAGTGTTAGGGGACTTGCTAGTAGGTCAGAGGTCTGGCTGAGTCACTTTGTGCTTAACTGGTGCTCTTTGCAAGGGTACTCAGAGTGCTCCACAGAGGGTCTCTGTACTCTCCTGCAGTGGGGCCTGAGCTTCTCTTGCTTGGGAGTGCATGGCTTGAGGGGACAGGCAGTCCCGGTGCAGGCTGGCATTGCGTTGCTGCACAGCCTGATTTTGGCACATTTCTTTTGTTTTCCAGACCTTCGTTTCAGCCAGGCCGCATGGTCAGGTTTTTCCTGTTCCAGGTAGGACATTGTCTCTTTGTCTTTTGGGGGTTCTTTGTTCTCGTGGTTGTGAGGCCCCACATCTGTAAGTGTCACTGTGTGTAATTAAGCCTTTACTTGACTTTGTATTAGAAGTGTGCCTGTGTTTTTGTTTTAATGATTGTGTGATTGCCAATTTCTTCAAATGGCCAGATAACAAAATTAAACTCTTAATCTCAGTCGGAGTTCAGTGATTATATAAAAGGTTAAATAAATAAAACAAATTAATGAGGCCTGAACTGGAACATTGAATAAATATTGGCTACCAGTTGCTACCAGGAGGGATGTGCTGATGAATGATGAAGTGTCAGAAAAGGAAAGACTGTTGTGATATCACCACCTCCTCCTCCTCCTCCTCCTCCTCCTCCTTGGCAAAACAAAGAAAATGCCAGTCAGTTAGTATTACACCGGATGTGATCTTAATGCCGGCTGAGCACTCAGACAGAAGCCTAATGGAGGAGAAGGACATGAACATAAACCTTCATAAATCCACAGGATCAGACAGGTGGAAACATTTACTCCCAAACTGTTCTCAGTGTAACGAGGCTGTGTGCTTGAATGTGACAGCGGCTTATCCATGACACCTCTTGAAGGCTCAAACAACAGATCTTCACATCAAATATGATATTCCCACACAGCCATAGCAGCTATTCTGTTTGCAAACAATGTCACCCACAAACAAACGAGCTAAAAAGCCAGCATGAATCTGCGAAGAAATAATTGGCCTGTTTTGCATTATTGCAGACTGCTCATTTTCAAGGTTTATGCTGTTAGTTCTCACTCAGCAGGGTTTGTTTTGGCGTAGGTATAGAGGTGGAAGGAAAACAGTATCTTGTTCCAAAAATCCATACCTTGTTGAAATGATCTTTACCAGAGAATGACTCCTACTTGTTCTGATGTTTTGTGTTTTTTATACATAAGGTGCAGCAGCTACAATAATTTGCTTACTTTGCACAACCAAGAGATCATCATCTATTTTTATTTGCATACACACAAATTTTCTTGCCTACTGCAGCACATAATACTGGAACTCACACTCTGCAGCATTTTTACAACTTGGCAAAGTTGTAAAAATACCTTTTTATATGAATTTCAGGTACCCAGCATTATGGACTAGAGTGTCATTGTTAGCTGTGACAGAGAGTTCAGGCCTTACTACATATTAAGTACATACCCTTAGACGTTTCATTCACATATAGATATTTATTTGTTGGATGTTTTATTTGAGCCAAAACACACGATAAACAAGGTTTGTTATAGGAACTACTTTAAGAAACAGTTTGACATTTTGGGATTAATTTTCCTGCTGAGAGCTAAATAAGAAAATTGATACAGCTCCCTTTTAATTACTAGACTACAGCATGCAGAAGGTTAGCTTAGCTTAGCAGTTTAGCCTGGCTCGGTCTGAAGGTAACAGAACCGGCCTGCTAGCACCTCTAAAACTCCTTTATCAACCGGTTATATCGTGTTTGTTTAATCCGTCCAAAACCAAAGTTTAAAAACAAGTTATCAGTTTAAAGGGCGCCGTGAGCTGGTTTATTTCTTTAAATTACTATTTGATCACAGCGGGCGCAGCTTTGGACGCTGTGTAGAGCGTTCTCACGTACAACATATCAACATTATATGGTAATCTTGGGGCTAAGAATAGGTCCAAATTGACTAAGATTGTAAATATGGCTGGGAAAATCATACGTAAACCACAGAGACAGCTGAGTGAGATATATACACTCCACTGCAGGCAGAAAGCACAGCGAATTTTGGGGGATTCTTCACACCCCCTGTTTGCTGAATTTGACAAGCTCCCCTCAGGAAGGTGTTACAAAATATCTTTTTAAATATTCTTTTATCCCTCGCACAATTGCTTTGATAAATTCATAAGAGATAACCGGTCTACTGGAAGCTCTTATTGGTTTCTGTTTAAATGTATTGGTTGTATGTGTCCTGTGTTATGTATATTTGATGTATTTAATGTTTTTCTAATGAACCTGGTGAAGCCAAAGACAAGTTTCCAGAAAATGATAATAAAGATTTATCTTATCTTAACACACTCATATAGTCAGTAACAATTCTTTACTTTGTGTAATATTTTGTTCCTTAATATTTATATTCTTTCTTCACTCTAAACCAGGACGTTTCATATTTAACTTAAGGTCTACTTACTTGCTTTCACCCCCGTCTTGCGGTCTTCCTCAGTGGATGGACTTTGTGTTTAGTGAATAGCTTCTGGGATTATTTTTGTCATCTCATGTGAAATGCGTGATCATTACGTCATGTCATGATGACAACTGAGCTATCGTTATCTGCTGAGGAAAAACTGCAGGATGCAGGTCAAAGAGTGATAGTAATGTAGTAAGTTAACATTGAATTAAGATTTTTTTTTTTCTTCATCAAACTACTGTTACCAAGGTCAAGAATGATCTTTCAAGCTCAATCTTTGTGGGGCTTTTTGTGTTTGCAGTGGCCCTCTGAGTCTGCAGCGGCCCCAGAGAAGGAGGCCCTCTCCGCAGGCTCCCAGTTTGTCGGTGTGACGGCGGTTCTAGTGGCGTGCTGCTCCAGCGGGTTCGCTGGTGTCTACTTTGAGAAGATCCTAAAGGAAAGCAAACAGAGCGTCTGGGTCCGCAACATCCAGCTAGGCCAGTATTCATTGATTATTCAAATCAATCAATCAATCAACAATCAACTGCTCAGTCAGACTTGAACGCTATACCAACTATTCTTACATATAAAATGTAATTGAAAACAGATTGGGACAACGTCCATGTTTCTGAAGCGAGCTCTTGCTGTGCGCGCAGTTTCCTTTCTTCCCTGCACAGAGAGCCAGCTGGGCTTTTTTCCTCCGATATGTTTCTGTTGAGATGAATGTTCCTGTCAGTTTATTTTTACCCTGGAGTGTGTTAAGTCTCTGGCGATTCCTGGTGTGAGCTTGGAGCTTTTTCACCTGCATTAAATATTGGAGCTTAGATCTACAACAAGAGCAGTGAAGAAAATGCTGTGTATTTTGTTGTTATTGTTAGTAGTTGTAAGTGATACAACATAATGTGAAATGAAGGAAATTAAATGCCAGGCTGTGCTGTACTTGTTGGCCTCTGGACTGTTGATATGACAAAACAAGCAATTTGAAGATTTCACCTTGTGCTCTTGAAAGATGTAATAGCCATTTTTTACAGTACATTCTTGACATGGCATTTGAAAATGAAAGCAATTGTTAGTTACAGCCTTGTTAGGAAAATGGGGAAGAAGTAGTGTTCAAAGCTGAGAGTTGGATGAGAAAATGGATGCCACTCTCATGTTTGTAAATAAATATGAAAGTTGAGCCAGAAGAGGGTTAATGCTAGCTTAGCTTACTTTAGCACCAAGACTGGAAACAGGGGGAAACAGCTAGCCTGGTTCTATCGGTAGCAAAATCCAACTTTTATTAAATTATTAAATTTATATCTTGTTTAATCTGTACAAAAACGATAATATGCAGCTTTATGGTCATGTGTCGGACTATTTCTTGGCCAGGTGCAGGACTGAAGCACTGACAAATGTTAGCATGCTAACATGCTAAACTAAGATGGTGAAAAACACTATTCCTTTTCTAACAGCAACATGTTGGCATAATAGCAATAGCAGTTAGCAGTCTTTTTATTCACCCTAAGGCTACATTCACAAAGCCCCAAGTGTGTCTGTTCTGTATGAACAGGCAGTGACCATCTGAATTTCTCTCTTTAACTTAATTGGAAGAGTTTACGTTTATTTTGATCTGGCACCAATAAAATCTTTAGACAAACGTTTAGCTCACACTTTTACTTTTGTGTGCGTTTCCAGGGATGTTTGGCCTGGTGTTTGGCTTCTTTGGGATGCTGGCCTACGATGGAGAGAGGGTGGCGGAGTCGGGAATGTTTCAGGGATACAGCACGGTCACCTGGACTGTCGTAGCGCTGCAGGTAACACTCACTCCACTGCCAGTGATTTAATACTGTCCAAAACTGTCAAAGATATTATCAAGCCTCTGGGGTAACAGACTCTTTATTTCATGGATCAGACTCCCTGTTGGCCCGTACAGGTCATGCCTTCGTCCATCTGTGTCTGTGTTTGTTGTTTCTCCAGGCGCTGGGTGGTCTGGTCATAGCAGCGGTCATCAAGTATGCAGACAACATCCTCAAGGGCTTTGCTACATCGCTCTCCATCATCCTGTCAACTCTTATATCGTACTTCTGGCTACAGGACTTCGACCCCACTGGGTAGAGGATACAGTCACTACCTCTTCCCTTGTCTCACGTCTTTGTTTTTCTTTCTTATATTATCACAATTTCTTGAGCTGACTTTGTCGTCTGCTGTCGTCCACAGGGTGTTCTTCCTGGGGGCCATTTTGGTCATCGTGGCCACTTTCCTGTACGGCTACGAAGGCAAGACATCCCCCAACCCCAGCAGGGCGTAGTACACTCACGGCTGACACTACAGCAGCAGTAGGAGGTCCTGTGGAAGCGTCAGGACGTGGAGGAAAAAGAAGGGGAAAGGTCTTTATCATATATTGAGATCACTAAGTGGAGGAGACAGAGAAGAGGAGTAGGAGTAGAGGAGGTAAGCAGGTTGGGAACAGAGGACAGGGAGAGTAAAAAGGAAGGTTTAAAAAAAAGAGCAACCACAATGCTGTGATGGGTCTCATACACCAAAAGTGCCTCTGACAAGGGTAACCAGTGAGAGAAGAAAACTGTGGCAAAATAGATTTGTATGTTCCTCTTTTTTTGCCGCTGTAGAGCTAATCCTGGCAGCCACAGAGATATTCTTAACAGGACCGACTGATTGTCTTGATTAAAAACCTGTTTGACTGCCAGTTGCTGTTACTGCCCCATCAATCACGCCTATACAGTAACTGACTTCAGAGGCGGACAGGCAGGAGTTTCTCAAGCTTCTTCAAAGCCACTTTTTTCTGATAAGTGTGAACAAGCCCACACTGTTGGCTTGTTGTTGCTGTATTTAAGGCTTTGACGGTCTTTCTAGTCCCACTTTGAGCTCTGAAAGCACATTTTTTTCCCTGAAGTGAGCGTTCCCAGCCACTGTTTGCCCTTAAACTGTGTACAATACTGCATGCCCTAACAGTCAAATGGTCAAGGTTAGCACTGGGGCCATGGTTTGGGGGGGGGGGGGGGACAACCCAACACACCAAGAGCAGTAACCATAACTATTATTGTTTCCTAATTTATGACTGTCATGTTGCTAATGCTAATTTGGGCAACATATAGACACCGGGGCGTCTTTGCTAACATATACAGTGTGCCTCGGTGACAGAATTGTTTTACTGTATGACTCTGGTCTGTCTGTCTGGTGCCGTTTAATGTTTGACAGTAATCTGGGTAAATGAATAAAATGCTACAGGAATAAACTAATCTCGGCTGTAACAGGGGTTATTATTTGATAATGAGGTGAAGATTATTTTGTTCAAGTGTTAAACTTGGGTATAACTAATGGGAGCACCATTTTAATTGTCATCTATAAATCTAAATGAATTGTCTGTATAACTTATTCATTCATTAAATAGGCATTTATGTGTCTTTTCAAAGCCACTGATAATAAGCATCCAGCTCCTTATGTCCTGTGCTCATGTAACAATATATTCTGTTGATTTTGTGGCAAAGTAATCAAACATTACTGTATGTGGCCCAGTTAAGAGGGGATAAAGCGGGTATAATTAATAACTTTGTTATTTGAATTACCAATATGTGAATCTTTTATAAAAGACAAATGTTTCCTTTAACTTTTCTGAATGTGTTATTGTGTTAAAGTCATTGTGATTGTCCTCCCAGGACTTTTCCACACTAAAACACACACATTTATATTTTAATCTGCTAAATCAAAAGGCATGTGGACGTTCATCAGATTTTTAAAGCCGTACAACTCGGGCTGCAATGCGTTGCAGTGATATATTCTTTACAATTAATCATGAAGCCATCTCTGCAGCCTGTCATTTCTTTCAACATCTAAATCCTTATTGTTTGCACAATTACACGTCTACCTTGTTTAATATAATACTTGATGTGTCGCCTTAGAATTGCAAACTACATAACATAAATAAATTCACACTTGGATTTTTTTGGCATTTGTTTTAATGAGTTTAAAAACACTGCATGCAAAAGCCAGACAGTCTGAGAGAAATGACTGTAACACGCCCGAGTTTCATGTCCTTTATATTATAACACTGTAAAACACCTTTACCCAGTCATTTGAAACCAATAACTGCATTAGACTCCAGTCAAGCAGCAGAACAAGTAGATATTAACGAGTCAAGCTCCTCATGAAGGGTCACGTACCGCTCTACCCTTCAGTCCTCAGGCACATCTGTTACTGTAAAAGACAATTGAGGCCCTGATACACACAGACAGCGGACTGTGTGACCTCATGGTCAAGTATAAGTGTATTTTTTAACACTTCATTTTAATCGGGGCAACATGTGAAAAAAAATTTCCGCTTTGTTTCACCCATTAAAAGCCTCAATTCTCGGAATAAAATCACTGACCAATAAAGATCACCTAGTTAGTTTTTCCAGTTTAAATTGCTGCTCTAGATGGTTCCCTTGATTGTCAACGTGGGCTCTCAGATACTCCTGTGCACAATACACAGACAAAACACTCCTTCCAGTGATTACGGCTCTGGTGTCTCTCAAGATGAGGTGTGTGTGTGTGTGTGTGTTTGTGTGAAGGCTTGTTCGGTTTGCACCAGGAGTAATGAGCAGCATGGGTAAGATAAGGTGGTTACATCCTCCATCTCTCTTCAGCTCTGTCTCATCTTGACCAGCTCAGCACTTCAGCACGACTTGTTTCACTGGTCCACTGTGTGCTGAGTGAGTACAAACAGAAATACAATGTATAGACCTGCTTGGAAAACAGTAAGCAACACTTTCAGATTCAACAAGATTTTGAAATGTTCATATTCTCCAAGCTGCACACTGTTTTCATTTTCACCTATGAAGCTTCATAACAACACATTTTATAAAAGATCATAATGGCACAAAAGACTGGATGTCTTTGTAAACCAAATACTGCACCAATATTTAAAGGGTCAGTTCACCCAAAGTACACAAAACAACAACAACAAAAACTTTCTTTTTTTTTTTACTTCCACCAGTATGTAGGTTGTTTTGGTTATATTTCTGCAGGTTTTCAGATATCAGATATTCAGATATATAATTTTTAAACATGCTGGCAGCGTACCTCTAGGGACAGCAATATTGGTCAGCAGGTCAATCGCCCCACCACATTGGTTCAGATTGAACTATCTCAACAACTTCTGATGGATTGCCTCAAAATTCAGTACAGATATCAGTAGTTCTTAGACAATATATCCTGATTACTTTGGTAATTCCTCAACCTTTCCTCTAGTGCCACCTAGATGACATGTTTAATTTTTTTTGTAAAATATCTCAGTGAGTACTGGATATGGAACCCATGAAATTTGTCGCAGATAGCCCAGAGGACGAATTGTAATAACTTTGCGGATTAACTGACTTTTCCTCTAGTACCATTGTTAGGTCCAAATTTGAAATTGTCCAATATGTTTTAACTTTTTCTTATGATGAAATACCTGCAAGAAAAGGGATTCCCCATCAGCCTCAGCTGTACTTAGTGCTAAATAGCAATTGTTGAAATGCTGACATGTTAAACTAAGAAGATGAACATGGCAAACATTATACTTGCTAAACATCAGCACGTTAGCATTTAACTCAAAGCTTTGCCGAGATCACCCTCATAGAAAAGCTAAATGCAGTTTGTCAAAGCTGTGATCACTAAAGAAATGTCGTACACCTCCTTTTTATTGTTTGGGAGGCAGAAATCTACACATTTGACATTTCAAAACTTTGCATGGCTACATACCGCTAGAAGTGAGAAGCTATGGGGTTTTTTTGTAACTGAGCTGAACCTATTCTTAAAGTCTTCTAGTGTAAATACAGTACTCTTTCACCACAATCTTTATCCTTAAACAACATATATTGACTTGATATAGACGTATTATAGCTGCCTCTTGCAGCCACTGAAGGCAGGCTCATCTTATGACTTCTTGCTTCTTCACCTCACAAATCTGTTTAGATTGAGACACAGGAAAGACTAAATCTAGAAGGCTGTCATCAACACAGGCATCACTGGCTTTCAAAAGGCAGGGAGGGAGAAGCTCTGCAGCTTGGATGAACTGGCCATTTGTTAGTGTAAAAAAAACAAAAATCCCGCTGCAGGGCTTCATTTAAGATTCCTCTCAGTGCACACATCCTGTGCATATAACCAAATCCAAGCTGTGATTTATACATTTTCTGTGATATGTGAAAAAGCAAAGTAGCTCTGAGGATGCATGTATGTTGACAATCTATCAGTTTTTTAAAATGATCTTGAAAAATTACCTTCCCTGTAGCATTATCACAAATGAGGCCCCTGGTGTTTGTGTGTGTATGTGTGTGTGAGAGTGTGTGAGGCAGTCTGGTGTGACAAAGCAGCAAGCCCGGACCCAACCCTAGGGCTCCGTTATAGAAAACACTCAAACACATACACACACGCCTGTACACCCACACTCACATCATCTCTAAAAGCACATCATCCAGTAACATTTCAGTTGATATAATAGTTTTCTCTGTCCGTAATGAATAAATCCCACAGCAGTGTTGTTCTCCTTGGATGTGTATGACGCATAAACACTAACACCTTTCCTTGGTCACACTCTCTTACACAGCACTTTATAGTACAGAGCAGACCAGCATTATGTCATTGTTAAGGCTCAAGAACCTTTTTAAACTGGGTTTGTATTTAGGCTGGATCATTTCTTTCTGGGCCTGAGTAGCTACAGTACAGGTTTGCGTTACAACCCAGCACTAATGGCGGATTTTCAAAGTTAGCCTTGCTCAGTTGTGCTGGGCTGGAGTGATGGCCAGCTCAACAGCACCAGAAGTACAGACCAACATACTTTCTGCAATGTCAAAGGCAGCGGTGGGGAATTAAGGCAGTTGTCCCCTCAAGATTTTACACGGAAAAGACTGCAACTCTGATTTGTGCCACAGACAGTTCAAGTCTCAGCCTGCTTATTCATTTGGTCTGTTTATCATCTTTTCATGAGATTTTCTTGTTTCACTGCGGAAGTGGCCCACTGTGATATAACAAACGGCCAATCAGATGCTCTCAACAATCTACTTGGGCGGTATGACAACAAGCGGAGGCCCTCTCCTCGGCCTCCACATCAGAACCTGGGCGTCGTTGGCGTTGGGCCTCCCTATGGCGTTATGAGGGATGGGCTCCATGCGGGACAGCACCCGCGGCTGGTCCTGGTGCACACGGCCTACCAGCCTGGCCCTGGAGCCCAGAGGCAGGGACGGATCCACTGCAATATCGACCCTCATCCTCCACTTGATGGTGTGGAGCAGGATCTTTTCCCTAGACGTGGTGTTGAGTGCCACCAGCCATGTGGTGAAGCTCTGGTCCCTTTTGATGTTAGTCAGTAAGGGAGTGTTGGATTCACTGACCGGCACAGCCCAGGTGACGCTGGGGTAAAAATTGTCATTCATGCTAACGATGAAGCGGGATGGCTTGGAGGTGGGGCCCACTATGGTGACAGTCTCTGTTGTGTTTCCGTACCAGGGGTAGCTCACACCGTCAGAGTCGCTGATGGCCCTCACCAGGCCTTCTCGTAGCTGAGGCAGCTCCCAGCTCGACCTGGGAAAGGACAGACAGTATGAGACTGGATACAAAGAGATTTCTGGGTAACTGTGTGCCACTGAAAGATACAATGTGTAAGAACTGAGACTATGCTCCACCTGTCTAATTCATAGTCCCAAAAAATAGGGGGCAGAATATCACATATCAGGTCATAACTGCTGCTAACTGCCGTTAGCTCAGTTAGCCGTGCAGTGGTCCTCTTAGCTGCTGAGGGGCACCCAGAGGCAGAGACAGTGTGTAGAGGCAGAATATGATAATATGTTTCATCTAAATATGTGAATAAGAGTTTATTTTGACCAAACCAGAGTTGGTGTTGTTAGAATAGTGGAAAGACGAAGATTCAGCAGACATCTTCTTCAAATTCTGTTGATAATGTTAGTTCATTTTAAAAAATGTTTTAAACTAAAATTTTGGCCATATTTTATACATTGTACCTTTTAAAGGATCTGCCTGGTGATATGTTTTTATTACTATAAAACAAATCCCATGAAAAGACCAAAACAAACAATTAATTACTAACAAGTATTGCCTGTGTAGCAAAAGCCGGATCTAGCTTATTGCACACCCGGGAGTACACTTCTACATCACGGCAGCACGATGAGAAGTTGCTTCTTAAAGACCTGAAGATGCTTTTTATTTTACTAATAAAACTTGAGGTGCATTCTCATATATTATTGAAGAGAATAATGCATGAGAAGCTTTTTTGTGAGTTTCTAAGCTGATAATTGAAAGTAATTTGTCCTGCCATTAAAAATAAATCACTTTCACATACTGCTAAAACTGTTTGATTACTCAGTAAAACTATATAACAATTTTGTATCAAATTATATTATTAATCATTTAAGCCATTTATCCAGCAAAAACAGCTAAACATTTTGAGGTTCCAGCTTCTCTAATGTGTGGATTTGTTGAGTTTCTCTTTATCTCACTGTGACTTTTTATACTTTTTGGGGGGGTTGGTCATTTTTTTCAAACATATTTTAGACTAAATGATTGATATTTGATAAAGAAAAGCACTGTTCACCACAAGAAATGAGTCGCCAGTCAATTTGGGAGTGAAAGCAGTTCCTTTGTTTTGAATTTTGGTGACTCTCCTTCATATTTGAATAAAGAACTGTTGGCATACTCATGTGTCTGAGGTATAAACAGTTGTGGATTTTTGTTTACAAGGAAAACAACAGAAGTAACAAGATCATTTCAGAAAGGCTTTAAAATAATTTTCCAGACACAAGCTTGCGCTGAGACTGCAACAGCCGCCTGTAAATGATGTGTAGTGGTTCAGGGTGTCAATGGATTATCATTATCTCCTTGTTGTGCCCGACAGTGTTTGTCATCTGGTGGCCCCCTTTCAGCTATTTGTTGTGCTTTCATGACCAATCTAATGACCGGCTGCACTAAGCCCCGTCCTCTCACCCCTACACCCACCCACTCCCTAAACCCAGCAGGATTAAACACCCCCTCACATATGCCCTCCAGATAATATGTGTGTGTTGTGGGGGTGTGGGGGAGGACATGTCTCCGTGGGCACAATTTGAGTGTGAGAGCATCAACTGTTGCTTAGCTCCTTATAATAGCAGCTTTTCTATTTAGGTGCCAAAGTCACAGGAACAGAATCTGTCGGTGGGCGTTTGAATGAAGGAGGCTGACACGCACAGTTAACCTGCTGCGTGCGCAAATGCTCCTCCTTGCAACTCTGTGTGATGCACAAGCATGAACACGCTATTATAAAGAGTGTACAAGCATGCACGAACACCCTCACGCAGACTATAACGCACGCACGGCACGGGCACACTTTTTTTTTGTTGGGTATCTTATCCCATATACGGTGTAGCCTATTGGGGACGCAGGTGACAGAGGTGTGAACTCACATGCCAACGTCTCCATAGGTGTTGTAAAATTCCATCTGGGTGCACGCCTGGATCCAGCCCACCACCCAGGTCTCATTGCGCGGAATAGGGGGCATCACAACCCGCGCCGAGGCTTTAAAATAGGGCGTCTTGTAGCGAAGCACTATGGGCGAGTTCTCCTCAATGACAGTCGGGCAGTGGTCTATGGTGGCGGTCAGGTCGTACACCACGATGTTCTCTCGTTTGATGCGTGACTTGTTACAGGCTATGCTCTGGATGCAGCCCATGGCTGTGCAGGTAAAGGTGATGGTCAGGACCAGCCAAGAGAGACTGACAGGCCTGGGGAACAGCACTGCTGACTGGGAGTCGACCAGTATCAACACTATGAAGCCGTGCATCAGATAGAACTGTAAGGCAAAGGTGGGTGCTACCCACTAGGCCCAACTCAGAATCACAAGTCTTCTGTGAAATCGCAGGAAGGGGGTCAGCTGGGTCCAGTGAGACCAGGATCCAGGTTCAGTCCCTCTGTGCCACCAGGCATCCGTCCTGCTGATGTATGGGTACATCAACCGGCTCCAGGGGCGCTGCTCTGTGGCTGACCCGGTGCTCTGACCTCTCCGGAGGCTGCAATCCACAGGAGAAATATCCTGCAGGGATTAATTAAGTATCACATGAATTTATACAGGTAGGCTATGAGTGTATCCTCTCCATTCAAACAGTGCACACTGTCTGTTTTCAGTGTGCCCTCTCCTCAAGGATCTGACCCGTCTGCGCTCCTGCTTCAACCCCTGCCCGTAACCTTTGATCCTCTTCTTTCTTCCCCGAGCTGTCATGTCACAAGAGGCGTAGGGGGACTGGCGGACACCGGGGCGCCGGCAGGGGGACCCGGTGGTCGGGCAGTGAGGCTTGTTGATGCGGCACTGTACATGAGATTCTGCTGCTGCATATAACCCGAGCGGCGGCGTTACTGTCCGTCATGCCTGTCGACTCGATGGAAGGGAAACCCGGTGAAACAAACAAAATATGGGAGTCCGAGCATCTGTGATGCGAAAAGCAGCTTCTTCCTCTTGCAGAGTTAAACGACACAGGCGGGTTGTCCCCGATCAAAACGAGGGATAAAATTAGCTGCAAATAGACAGATCGTCAACATCTGCTGTAGACTGATGGAACAATGGCACCAGGGTTAAAATCAAATCAGATCATCAGTATCAGAGTAACCGTGTAGGGCAGCCTTCACCGCTCGGCATCCTCATTTGATGAAAGCTGCATGGCTGTGTGTCGCTGTTCAGCCTGCGTGGTGCTGAAGACGCTGAATGGACCAATGAACGGCAGAGGGAGACTGAAGGCGTAGGAGTGCATGCGTCTGCACGGTAGTAGCTTTGCGACCTCTTTCCTCCATATTGGAATAATGCTTCTAATCGCATAAACACAAAGCAGACAAGGCTCACATAAGCCCCCAGTGGATGGGCTGCAATTCTTTTTAATGGGTCTGCAAGATATAAAGCAACAGGTAGTCTTTCTACACCACAGGAAGGGTTTTTGGAAATACTTAGCCTAGATGTTGTGCTTCACAAGCATCACTCCATATAATAGTACATACTGATGATACACCCTCTGTAGTTAAATAGAAAGGTTGGGGTTTCTAATTGTGCAGAGAAACATGTGATTGGTTAGTGGCAGCCAGCTGCCAGAGGCATTGTCTCACCACAATGTATGCTCCAGTGCAGTAGATGTTCCAGTTTTAAAGACTTCTCCTCCAGACTAGTTAATTGAAAAATAAAATTCCAGAAATGGAAAGCCCAAAGACAGCTACTAAGTGGATCCCGTTGTGCTTCCAAGATAAAAAAGGAACTTTTTTGCATAAATTCTGTCCTGTTAATACAAGATCCCTCCATATTTAGGCTACAGGTCTCAGATAGGTCTACACACCATGACCTAACTGGCCTAATTACAGTACCTAGCTTGCCCCCAGTGACATGAGTTATGAAGGGTAAATAAACTAACAATCTACTTTACTGAATATGTTTTTTTAACTGCATGCAACACTACCAGAATAATAATAATAATAACAGCTCTCCCCAAGGTTGTCAAACCTGTATGTGTGTGTGTTAGGTGCTGGTTAGCTGTAAAGTACCTAACACACACACACACACACACACACACACACACAGTTCACATCATTAAGATACACTCATAAGAAATAATGCACATTTGAGAAAAGGGACACCTTGGTAAGCTTTCTGAAGCTTGTATAGGGGCCCAAACACTAAGCAAATGGTAGACCTGTATTTGAAGCACTAACATATTGTCTAGTCATAGATACTACAAAAAAAAAGCACATTCATTCAGTATCATTTCTATCCCTTAAGCATTATTTAAATAGGTAAAATACAATAAATAGAAACTTTTGGCAAATGGAAATAACAGTAAAATTCTAACAAATTACTAAACAGAAAAACTAATTTAGAAACTTGTTTAGTCCCCAGCCGTTTAGAGAATTCAAGCATGAACATTTTTGAGTAGTAACTGCTGTCTTAAGCTCTTTTTGAAAAGTGACGCAGACAAAGACATTTTCATAGAATAATCAATTTCATTCCATGCACGTGAACGTCCGCAAACCACACAAAATCTCCTACATTTAAGGTAACGGGTATTACCCATAATAAGATGCTTTTCCTCATCGGATTCAAGGTAGAGTGAATCATTCACAGTCAGTTGTTGAGCATATGTACTACACACACACACACACACACACACACACACACACACACACATACACACTGATATATGCATTTCATTGACATTCTTAGATCTTTATTGCGTCTCAGGTTTTTGATAAAGAATTAACAGAATATAATAGATGTTTTATGTTTTTGTCTGGATGTGTTTCTGATTTGTCAGATGTTTTGTCTATTCATTTCATTTCAACATTTTAATGGTTGGATTGATACTGGGGCAGTATGGTAGGTTAGAAAGATATGTTGGTGAAAGAAGTACGGGGTGCACATAAGCGAGGTGGGACCGAGGGATGTAGTCAGGTGGGGAGGGCGGAAAAAGAGAGAAAACCCAAAAGCCAGTGGGAGTGTAACAAAATTAGGTGGTGTCTCAGAAGGCATTACGTTCGAGTGAAGGCATCTCTATGAACATTGGTTTCAAACTGCCTTTTAGGCAGCATTTAATAGTTTGTCTGCATCACTGACGGGTAGCTTGAAGGCATCTTACAAGCCTGGAGAAGATCATTCGATCAATAAAAATAAGGCATCAGAAAGCATAGATTATAAAAATCAAGCCTTTCCCAAACCTATCACCAAGACACCTGTGGATCACTGTAAAGCAATCATTCGTCTGCTTTTCATTCCCTATGAGGATGGCAGGGAAACTGATTATGAGGAATTAACAGGACAAACAAGGAGTTACCAGAGAGGTAAGTACCTCTCCATCAGCTCGGATGGTATTCTCAAAGCCTGGACTGACAGCTTTGACATGCAATATACAATTGAATTATACAAAACCAAAAAGACACTTCCTTTTTCACACGTCAAAAAAATGTGTGTTCGTGACATGGTGTACCTCAGGGAACTGAAACAGCTGGCTGTCTCCACTTCTGACAGGGAACTGTTATTCTATGACTGCAATGACTTCCCTGAGATGTTTAAAATCAGTAACTCTTTAATAGTAGAGGACAACATAGTGAACGCCATGAACTACTGGTCCAAAGACACTAAAGCAGTGTTTTCCTTTGGTGATGTAAAAGGCTTTTTGTCTGTGTTTATCTCCTACGACATAAAGAAAAACGGCCTCTTCTGCCCAGAGCTGTATGAGGAAATCTCACTGCGGACGTAAAAAACAGTCTGTGTTTCAGCCCTGTTGAAAGAATCATCTAAAGACTTTCTCTGCGTTAAAGTCCCTATCTTTAATGATATATGCAGTCAGATCCGATACTTTACACCCCTCAACTCATTTGCCATCTGCGGTAGTTCATCCAAAACAATGGTCCTTGCTGGCCTACCCAAGCCTTCCAGAACCAAAGTCTCTAAAAAAGTCTTCAAGAGCCACGGAGACAATGAGTTTTTCACATGCGTTGAATACTCCCCTTCAGCTGAGCATCTGGTGACTGGTGGTACAGATGGCTTGCTGCGGGTGTGGTTTCCCCACAAAACCATGTCATGTGAAAAGACGTTAACAGGACATGTGAAACCCATCACCTGCATTTTGTTCAACCCCATAGACAAAATATTTGTCAGTCTATCGGAAGACAAGAATGTACGCGTGTGGTCCGAGGACGGCTGGATGTGTAGACAAAGCTTCCAGGCTCAAGACATGGGGAGGGCCCCAATCTCCAGTGTGTGTTATAACATACACAACAATGAGTTAGTCCTGGCTAACTCGGATATAGGAAAATATCTTGGAAGAGGAACAGACATTTTCAAAGAAACCTTAACATCCCACGACAAGCCCCTTTGCGGTGCTCTTTATCACCACATCTTCAAAAAGGTTGTCTCTGTTTGCCAAAACGGTGTGGGGACAGTGTGGGATATCGTAACAGGAAAGGCCATCATGCAGTTCAAGGTGACTCCGGGTCAGAATGAGGGGCTCACTGCCATGTCATTTGATGAAGCGCATCAAGAAAAGCTCTAGGCCGGACAGGGAGTCTGCCTGGTCAGAAGAGTCAAAAGAATAACATACATAAAAAATCTACAACTCTGACTGGGAATAAGACTACCAGTCCTCTTATCTTATGTCTGAAGACAAGGGAGGTCAATATTGACACAGCCACACTGCTGATTTCTGCAGATGGCTACATCAATGCGTGGTCTGTTAATGTCAAAGGAGGTCTGTTAGTAAAGTTCAGAGCAGTAAATGATGAAAGTGCCATCATTACCACCATGTCGACTGATGTCAATGAACAGATTTTACTGACTGGGGACAGTACTGGAAAGATTTATCTGCGGGACATTCAGGAATTCGGGTTAAAAAAACAGGCAGACAAAGGGCCATTTGAGGATATACATGGGTGGCGTGTGTCACTGTGTCCACCTCCTCTGTTGGGCTCCTGGCAAACTCACTTCACAGGGGTGGTGAGTGTTAAATCTGACCCCGCTTGTAAAAACATAATTACTGCGGGGTTGGACTGCAATGTCCGGCTATGGACAAATACAGGCTGCTGTGTAGGCCTCTTTGGGAGAGACCAATGGGGTGCTACGCAACTCAGACCTGAGAAGCATGCTGAACAGCAGGAACCAGGAAGACCAAGCACTGCAAAGACAAGAAACTCTCATATACCATTCCCTGAGTCTCCAAGGTCTTCATCACCCTCATCTCCGCTCCCAAACTTTGACGACCTATATGAACAAATTAGAGAGGTAACCAAAACACCTGAGGTTACGCCAACACTGACTTTTGATCAACTACTAAATGAATATAAACAGCTGATCAAGTACAAGCCAAGTTTTGACCGAAAAAAAGATATGTGGATGTTGGGGTCTGAAAATACTCCATCCATGTTATGGTCATGCTGTACATACTGCAGCTCTGCCGACATGGATTTGAACTTATCCCATCATCCCTTCTGCCCCCTATCCCTGCTTTCCTCATGCCCTCAACCCTTGATCCCCTCATCCCTGCTTTCCTCATCCCTTCATCCCATCATCATCCTCTGATCCCTTCATCCCCTCTTCATTCACAGCTGGTCACACAGCTGGCTCACATCGACCAGAGACGCCAGATCAGCGGCGCAGCAGCGGCTCCACCATAAATTTTGTTTTAATTTACATGTGTAAGGTTGTTGTCAGGTACCTGTGAAATATAAATTTTAAATTGTAGATTCAGATCATTTTCGAGATTATTTGTACTCATTGTATTTTACTTGGGGAAATAGGTTTTGGTCACAATGTTGTAACATTTCAAAGTAAGAACCACGAGATTATTGACCATGTGAACCATGACCATTTGATTATTAATCAAATGGTCATGGTTCACAATAGACGTCTGCAGACATGTATGTGAGATTTTAACACAGACAAGTGGGTGACACAGCAGGGGCAGTGGTGACATTCTTTGCTATATACATACATTTGCATGTCTTTGTGCTCTAAGGAAGAGCCAAGGAGTGGCCATGTTAGAAAGCCAACATTTGTCTGTGATTACTGTTTGCTGGTGGTTCTGTACTTGAGAGGATATTATGGGAGAGATGTTTCTTTGTCGTGAGAGAATCTTGTCTGTTGCTCCATGGCCATGTTAGAAAGGATTAATTCATCACAT